ATCTCAGTGTGCTTGGTTAAGAGCAATTCTACTTGTGTATTCCGCTTGTCTTTAACATGGGAAAGTGGGGAAACCTCTCGGGTGAGGGAAACACTTAGTTAATAGGCAAACACGAGTGGATAGATGAGGGAAGGCTGAGTCTAGCGAGGGACTAGGCTGCCGCACGGGTTTATTCGCGTAGCGAAAAATTACCCCGTGACACTTGCTATATAACTGGAAGAGAGGCATGAAAAATAGGGATCCCATTCCGAAATTCAGGATTGTACTTCTTGATGATTACATCTTGCCATGCTCCGTTATTTTGTTCTCCTAATCTCCACAGCCAATTAAACAACATTGCTATGTTTTTGCCTTGCAATGAACTCCTAACCCTTTACTTTTTTTTTTTTTTAACATGGATGTCCGGATCAATTTGCGTTATTTCAACTAATCTTATAAATTTTAAAGTTAATAACTATATAAATTTTTAATAATTATTATATTAATAATTATATAGCTCGAACTTAAAATTACAAGAAAAACAAATTTCTTGATCTCAAATGTATCTCAAATTGTTATCATTGAGCTATCTAGTACCGCTAAGCTACCTACTAGATGCTTCTCTTCTCTTTTACTACAGCATTCCTTTTCAGCATGCATATTTTCCTTCCATCAGTGTTGACGCTCCCTCAAAAAACATATTTGAATTGACGTTATAGAATGCTTTACCTCCTTAGGCATTCGAAACACTGACATGTAATATAATGGCAACCAATTCGAAACACTGACATACCCGTCCTGTCATGCTTCGTCACCTCCCTTTCCATAAACATAATCTAGCTCGAATCCTTGATAAATTTGGTTTCTAGGTAGAAAGTCTTTTAGGATTTGCTTCCAAAGGAAGTCCTAGGTACCTAACAGGTAACCTGTCCCATCTTCTGAGAATAGAGCTAGCCATACCATATGTGTAATCATCATCTAGATTAACTCCATTCAATGAGCTCTTATGAAGATTAGCCCAGAGTCCTGATGTTTATTCAAACCATTTAAGGATGCAGTTCATATGAATTAGCATGTTGTAATAATTTAGAATGAAAACAAGAGTGTTGGAAATGAAACTAAGTTGTGCTCAGTTAAAGGATGCAGGAATTCACAGCAAGAAAATGCTCTTTGGTGTTATTGTCATCATGGGATCTGCCAAAACTTCTTTTTGTGTTGCTCTCAGCTCTTTTTCTGGACCGGTTTGGCAGGCGGCCTCTTTTGTTGTTGGGCTCAGCTGGAATGGCGTTGGCGTTGTCGTTTGACTTCTTCCAGTGTTATTTGTTTTTCTAACCAGCTTGATTATAGAGGAGAAACTTTTTAAACCTTAAAGCTCCAATACTGACCCTTTGAAGCCGAGACTTAGAGAACAAACTTGAGAGGAAAAAAAACTGCAGCGACTACTATCTGGAGTTGAATGTAGAAAGCTTTCATGTGTAATTCTTGAAATAAAATTACGAGATTTTCTAACAGTGGATGCTCGATGGAAGGATTTTTTATTCCTGTCTCCAAGTCTACACCAGAGCTTCCTAGACTTTAGCTTCCAAATAGCCTAAACATTCTTACTAATCTGCCACTGTTGAGAAAACAGATTACTAAGATCAGACATCTCTATTTCTGTAAGCTGAGTAACCTCCTTTCCCTTCAAGCTTTTGAATCTGATTCTGTACATCTAGAAGCTTTTTGTCTTGATTACCAAATACTGCATGATTCCGGATTCTGGATATTGTTGCCATGAAACTCAACTTTCTGACTAGGTTGTACCTGCCTGGAAATGTTATACAACTTTCAATCTAGAATCCTTTAAGATCATTCAAAAATTGAGGGTGAGAAGGCCAGCAATTTATGAAGCGAAAAGGCCTCTACCCCTAGTTTTGTAATGATTGCCCAAGGACTGGTTGGCAATGATCAGATAGACCTCAATAGAACCGAATCAATGAGATGAAAATTGCTGGTGTACTGCCGAAGATGCAAAAGCCCGATCTATGCGACTCTTAGATTTGCTTCTAAACCAAGTAAATCGATGCCCCTGGAGAGAGGATATTCCATAAGATCACATTCAAAAATAAGATTTCTGAAAGCCCATGAACCTTGCATTAAAGTACCCACTACTTCCTTCACTAGCACGAAGTGTTCCATTAAAATCTCCCACAAGGATCATGGGGAGGTCAAAAGTAGATTTCAGAATTTTTAAATCAAACCATAATGTCTTTCGGTCATATGTTGAATTGATGCATAAATTCCCACAACAGCACAATGGAAAGATGTTTTAACATGCACACCAAAAATAATTGCCCGTTGACCACCGTAATCTACCGATTATACTTGAAAATTCTCTTCATTTTGATCATATAAAACTTGATGTAGTTAGACTTGTAATAACAAGTGAGCAGGTATAAGTATGTTATAACTAGATGA